AAGATCAGCAAAAAAGTGAAGCTCTACGACGGGGTTACTATTTGTATTGAGACAATGTATGTTGTGATTTCGGTATTTTCCTCGAGGAAGACATCCTTTTGATGCAAAATATCATTATATTCACTATTTACTGTGATGATGAAGTTGCTTTATTTATCCTGAAAGGGATGATAACAAACTGCGTGCGACGAATGAGAGACAAGTGCAATCTGTGCACGATTTCTTGAGCTCCGAAATCCCTGTCCTCTCTAGTACTTTAGTTAGTTGAATTGTGGATAAAGGTAGAAAGGAAATGTTTAGGCCAATATGATAACAACAAATAGTTATTTTTGTGAAACGGGACTTTTTTGCATCAAATAACGACCTAGGGGGAGTAGGTTGAATCACTTATCAAGTTCCATGTGAAGGAATTCACTTACCCACAAAAACATGCTGATACTAAAATTACTGACCTCCCCACTAACACCCCTAAGAGTTCAAAAACGTGTTCATATAGAGAAGCTACAATTTCTGGCAAATGAAGAGGACATTCAGCGTTTGGTTTTTGTCGATCAAAGGAAACTGGACGAAAACCCTGAAGGAGATCGGCATCATTGATCCAGAATCTGAAGTATAATACCTATTAGTGGCATATTTAATCTTTTAAATCATTATTCACTACAATTATACAGGGCTTTTGCTACTTTAACGTTAGTCAATTGCTCATCATGTGCATTTGTTTATTTTCAGTGGAGTTTGCAGTTGTTTGTTTGCAACGAAAATTGTCATTGAAACAGTTGTTTCCATCGCTTTCTATTAATTTATTATGAAACCAATGTGTTTTCGTTTGAAGAAAATATTTCAGTTTTCATTGTGCGTGATTTATTACTGTAGGGAGAATGACACTACTAGTTCTACTTCACTAGAACTTCCACTCCAATTCTTATCTCAACCTTCTCCTCTTTTAACTTCCAATCAATTCCGATCAATTTCTTCGGCCCCTCTCAAGGCATAGAAAAGCGAATACGGATCGGGAAGATAAAGAAATATTTTTAGTGAACTTAAAATTTCGTTGAAAAATTAGTTGATTCTTAAAGACTTTCACTTTTTGCGTCCTGGCAGAACATAATTTTTGGAATAATCTAATACGAATGCGGCGTATGCAAATTTGTTTATTAAACATTACTTCCTAAATATTTGAATAATTGATTGCCTAATTTTATTTTTTATATAAATGATGGTAAATACGAAAAGTAAATCTCTGTATTAACAAATGTTATGATTTGCAAATTGCAATTTGCAATTTACGGTTGTCACAACACACTATATAAGGAGTAGGATTAATAAATAAGATCGCCGCGTTCTCGACAATCGGAAATAATTGTGGGGAGTTATTAATGGGGAATACTGTGATGATGAGCGCGTTTTGTATTATTCACCTACGTATGTATCTCTCTGAATCGTCGTCATTCGCCATTTTTCTAGTTTCGTGCGATGAATGGACAATGCACTGACTTACATAGCTTGAAAAAATCCTAAAATTCCTTCCCACAAATTAAGGAATCTATTTAAACAATTTTCCTATTTAAGTCATGTTCAAATACTATTTGGATCAGGAACGAACTTGTAGTGTCATAAAGCGTCGGTTTTGTTTGTTTCATCCCTCTCATATCTCTTCAGAAATTAGGCATGGCGAAGACGTCTTCATAGAGACTTTCTGTTTGGAGATCAAATCCGTTTAGCGACTCCGTGAGCGAACGACTTTGTTTACATTCGAGGGGAAGGTCCATTGGAGGAGGCTTGAGCTCCTGAAGTCCCCGCGAGAGAAAGTGGGCTGGCTCTGCGCTCGGGCTGCTGAGGGTCACTTCTCCCGCCAGCTGACGCTCCGACCACTTGACTGCGTGTGGCCTCACAGCGCTGTGTTTCCAGTGGATTTCGGCTTAGGCTCACAAATCCGAAAACTAATTAAGTGTTTATTACTGGTAAGAGATGCGTTAATATTATAAAGCTTTCATTATAAAACTCAGTTATTTAAAACCACAGTGAAGATATTATTGGAATCAACCTTGAGGGTAAATCGTGTTTAAATACAAAGTAAGCTATGAATTATAGACGACCAACGACTTCTTCATAAAGACTCCTTCATAAAACTCCTTCATAAAATAAAAATGTATTATAGTACTACACTTCGTACTAAGTTTTAAAATTATTTTTATCTTTCTTTTCTCATCGTTTTCAATCATTCGTGAAAATATTTTCACACATGCACATAAAAAATTTCACTTTGCTTACTCATGAATTTTTTGTTAATTCTCCACACGATTTTCATATACTTTTTATTAATTGTAAAAATATCATTATATGTTTGAAGTTTATTTAGGCAATATGTATTTGTCCTTCAACGGAGCCTGACGAGCCTATTTCGACGAATTTAATCCAATTGGATTTCATATTATTAACTGCCGTTTTCCTGCAAATGGAAATCTTCCGGAAAATAAGAGTACAGTGTATATTACACTAAATTCTATGTTTCTAGGTCAAAGTCCATAGTTGTGTTAACATTAACCTGCACTTTTCAAACTGAAACCGTTCACGCCGACTGCCCGCCGGCGTGTTTTGGCTGAGCGCTCAGATGCTTCGATTGCTGTCGCATGGCTTTCGCAAGAGGAACGCGAAGAACGTTCGTTCGGAACTTCCTCCCTCGCGGCCTACTTTGCAGCTCATGTCCGATGAAATTAACACGCGTCGTTCCACGCCTCCACGGTTATCGACAAATCCAAACCTAGAGTCAAACCTGTGAAATATTTTGCGTGTAACGTGTAAAGCGATGTGGAATATGTTGCCCAATACGAGTAACGTAACTTCTAGTGAAAGGAATTAATGTTTTAAATATCTCGAAAATTCATTAAAATCTGAATATTTTGAAATACAAATCAACCCAATTACTTGGGATAGATACTGAATTTGCCTATACCTGGAGGGAACATAGAAATTCCTTATTGATGAAACTTCTGTGCGCTATTGCAGTTTGGGTGTTAATGTTCGAAGGAAAAATATGTAGTACTCATTTTTATAGGTATATGTGTAAAATAAAGTCAAATTACACTTTCTAAAGGAAAAACAGTACTTCCTAGATAAAAGGGACTGAGAAATCAAAGCACTCCTCAAAAATGTACTATACTCATGGATTTTCACGGTACGTACCTCTACTAAAGTGAATGCTTACTATTTTCAGATTTCATTTGAAGAGTAGTAGTGTTAAATAAGCGTTGACAAAGAGTTAAAATTACCTCTGTGTGTATTGTGAGTACAAGGTGAAAATAATGTATGCTCTCGGGCATAAATCAAGTACCTAGTCTTGAAGTGTTGTGTGAAGGTAAAAGAGAATTGCGCAGTTAGTTTTCTGAGGAAGTTTATCTGCAAGACTCTTCAACTACAATATTTGATTGGTTCAAAATATATTAAGATGTGCAAAAGATATTGGAACTTAGTTAAAGTAAAACTGATGTAAGAAAGTTGTGAACATTTTCAGTTAATCTTTGTACTTTTATTGTACATTTTGGGATTAGTACGCTATTTCTGTTTTGCAACAATCTCAAATAAGCAGCAACAAATCTTCAAAACAAATAGCTGGACATTTTGACCTGAACAAATTCAACAAAAAAGCCAACCACTGCTACTACTACTACAAACACACGCACCCACAATCACCAATAAAACTTTATCTCAGGAGTCATGGCTTCGATCTGGATTTTTATATTCTATTCGTTGTGATGTAATGTGACTCTTGTATCACGTATTTTGTCGAGTAATTTCTAGTTGGAATTAACACATAACTCTCCTAGAGTACAACTTTCAAATATCTTGACTTATACTCGGACAACAATTTGATAATGCATACTCATATTATTATAAAAAAACTAAAAGAAACGCAAATGAAAAAAAATGAAAACTGCCATGACTTCTCAAGCAAAGGTCGCAGCTCTTGATCAACAAAATTTAATATTTAAAAAATAAAGATCTACCACTGAACAATAAATATTAAAAAAAATTATGACATATTGTACTATTCATGATCAAATTATTACTGTGAATCAACAGATTGCTGTTTAAAATCTCACAATCACGGAAAATTAAATTTTTCTATATTATAACTGACTCTGGTATTGGGCAATTTTTGGCAAGGGTTTGTCCCAAAGTTGATCGGCAAAAATATTTGATAAAGAAGATTTTAAACTTTAATTTTAAAAGAAGATTATACTCGTAGACTTGAAGTCAGTAAAATGAATTTTTTAAGACATGTAGCCGGCTACACATTGATGGATAAAAAAAACAAATTATAATATTAGAGCAGAATTGAAGATTAAGAATATTGTAGAGGTATTAGAACAGTATCAACTTAGGTGGAACGAACGTGTTGAACGAATGCTAGACTCACAATGACAAAATCCATCAAACAATACGCTACAGAAGGAAGAAGATCGTGCGGAAGACCGAAGAAGAGATGACGAGATCGGTTCCAAGAAGTCAGAACGGGCCAGAAAGTTGATGAAGATTTAAAAGAATAGAAGTAATGGGATGAACTCAACAAGAACCGATTCAAACAGGGGTCTAGGGAGTACTTACTATCTTTCCTAGTGGATCTTGAAATGTTGGAATGCGTTCCCTTCCATCTTCTAACACTAGGAAATATTTTAGATAAATAAGTATGTCAATATAATAAAGAAAACTTCATAACTGAACGTTAACCATAAAAGTAGCTTATTGTGGAAGGTATAGAAGGAGGGTTATCTTCGATTGCTTTGCTTTGTTTTCGTTATATTTCACCACAGTTCATGTGTCACCATAGATCATGTATTATCATTTTTAAGATTCTATTAACCCGCGGTCCAAAGGGCCACGTGAGTTGATGCCCTAGGATTGGGTGAATCCCCGTTCCGGAGGCTCGCGTGTCACGTGAGATGATGCATTTTGTTTTGCGCAGGATCGCGTGATTCCCCGTCCGGAGGGTCACGTGTGCGATGGCCGTGGCGTGGTGGCTGGCGGCGGCGGCGGGGGCCGTGCCCGGCGGCGCGTGGGGGGCGCTGGCGGCGGCGCTGGCGGCGGCGGCGGCGGTGGCGCTGGCGGCGCCGGCGCTGGCGGCGCTTCGGCGGCGCGCGCGCGTCGTCACCCTCATCGAGCGCATTCCGGGCCCGCCGCCCACACCCCTGCTCGGCAACACCGTCGAGTTCAACGTCGACCACGACGGTGAGAGGCCCAGGCCCCCGGCCAGGAATGCGGCGACGACGGGACGCGCCGCGCCGCGCCGCGCCGGAAAGGGAAACGGGGAAGTGGTGCAGTTTGTTACACTTTCTCCAATGTAATGGCCGTTACGGTTCCGTGAATACTATCCCGACGGAGCACTAACAAAAGATGATGGGCAGCTCACATTTATATGCTGCGATTTATTCAACTCTGCCCCTGGCAGGTATCAGCTGTTGACGGGTTCATCCAATCGGGAGCTTCAATGTCACCATAGTTATATCACTATGACGAAGTTCAAGCTCCCGATTGGATGAAACCGTCAACAGCTGACACCTCCCAGAGGCAGACTTCGCAGTATAGTGAGATTACTATAAGAAGATACTGCTTTGACAGCTACTGCTTGGCTATTGCTGGCAATAAAACTGCATGTTACGTCCATGCACTCATTTTCTCGGTGCGTTCGTTTACTGTTAGCTCATTTGTAAACGTCGTCATCCCTGTTTCTTCCAATATGACGGCATCAATTTGTTTTCCGATGTTTTTCAATGGTCCCTTCTTCGAGTAATTCCTGTATAACAGCGGGAACTATGAATCTACTTGTGCCCGTGAAGTTTCATTTCAGAGGAAATGTAGTCATCTATGAGTTTTAGCTCAAAACAGTGATGGCAGAACATCTGGGACACGCTAGTTCCTCGTGGATGTGTTTTTCCTGTATCATAATCAAATTATGAATGGTCAATGCGCGGTGAATTCAATTCTAGCTTTCCCATCAGTTTAGGAAGGCGAGTGATTCTCTTGAAAGTGGACTCATGCACACAGATCTTGGGGAGTTCATTTTCAGGTGCACCATTTATATTAAAACACAGAAGGAAGATAATTATTATCACATTACACACTACATTACATTTAAAATACTTGGTAGTACTACTTTTTTCAATCATAAATTGGTTAAATTGATAATGAGGAAATACGAGTAATATCATTTAAGAAGCTTTTTCTGTTCGTTTTTCGGCTTCTAAAATCTTGCAAAAAGAGTTAATTCAGGAGTGAATCCAGAGAAAAATTTTGGGAAGGTAAATTCAAAATGTTCTGATTGAATGTGTCATTTCAGATTTTGTAAAATGTCTCAGGCTACACTCAGCTCATGCTGCGATTAGAATTTATTCGTTTTAATGATCATCCGAAAATATTTTGCATGAAAGTTTCGTGACAATTAATAGTTACTGAAAAACATTAGGGGGGGTTCCTTGATTTCCTTCCATGTGGATCCGCGCCTAGGGGTTGATTGCGAATTAGTTCAGAGGGCTAGCTTATAAACCATGTCAATTTCTCTTAAAAGACATCTTCGTATCGGGAGATAGGCCTCTGGTTTCAACACAAACATTCTATTTCTTTCCCACTTCCTTATCTTTTCACTGCTTCTCAAGAGAAAGGAAGTACTTCGCCATCTACGGATGGTAGCCACATATATTTAAGTCTGTGAAACAAGCAAGGAGGGCGGAAACGCACTTTGTTCAATGCTTTATAGTTACGTCACTTCTACTGCAACATTAAGAAAGTTTTTGGAATTGGGACAATTTAGGCCTATTTTTGAGAAAATTTTATTTTTAAAATTGCCCTTATGCCTGCCCGTAAGTAAATGATGTAGTTATACTAATATTTTTAAGAAATGCACAGATCATTAATTAAAGAACAAATTTCATTTCAAGAAAACTCCATATCTTCAGTAATGTAGTTGTGCGAGAAGTGACAAATACTTTAAACTTTTGCTGTTTTGAAAATTTGGTGAAAATGGGAGCTGTGCCGTCTTTATAGAGATGTCTCTCTATTATTTTAAGAAACTAAAGAACTAATTTGGAAAGGCTCCAAGAAAAGTTTGAAAATGTTAATATTGTATGTCGTAAATATTGTACATTTGCAATGTTAACATTTCTAATTTTCGAACATTTAGAGAATAGGACCATCACCATTTATTTACGTCCTTTGATACAAACGAGGCTTAAATTGAAAGAAAAAAATTGAGAGGTTTTGAGAAAATAATCGTGTAAATGTTTTCTATATTTGTGCAAAATTGTTCAAATGCTAATGAAGGTTTTGAAAAGTTGTACAGGACATTATTTTAAGATTGTCTTTGAAGAACTGATTTCATTAAGGAAAAAATCTCTATCTTTTAAATTGTATTTGTAGGAAGCCGTCCAAGAAAGTTTCATATTCTACCATTTTCGAAAATTAAGACATTTCCACGAAAATACGACCTATTTAAAGGACGCCTATTTAAGCGACCTTTACTCGCATGGCCACGGACAAAGTTTAATAGAAAAATAGAGCCATTTTTTAAAAATGTGAAGGTGTTGTTAAGGCTGTATGTGAAGTATCCCAAAAATCAAAATATGTTTCAAACTTGCATAACTTTGCTTTCGTCCAGATCAATCGGTGAATTTCAATATTGAAGATAAAGGTCGGAACGGTTTAGGCGCTAGCCTTAGGCGGACGGACGGACAGACGTTTTACTGTCAATCGATTTTTCGATATTAAGAGCCCACAAACCGTGGATTCTGACTACACAACGCTTTAGAGGAAATAATTTCTTATATATGGGAACAAGATTTATCCACTTTATCGTTATCAGGACCCGACGAAAAATCGCCGACTCCGCCGCACGATTACTTTCTCTTTACTATGTACGTAGTAAGGCAAGATAGTAAAAAAAACCTTCTTCGATCAGGTGAACCAAAACGTGTATTTTCGTTGAAATCTCGAAATAATTTTCCGCAGCAATACACAACTCTCGTACACGCGTAACATATCACGTATATTGAGATGTTGAGAAAAATATTGAAATATTGTTAACTGAGGTCACTACCGGTGCGTTATCCTGTATAACCCTGTAGTATACTTCCACGTAGTGCGCCGGTTCTTTCGTTATTAAAAGCGGTGTTGAACGCGGCTTTTGCGTTGAGTGTTGCCACCGGAGCGGCGTCAAGGCGTCGGAAGGAAGCAAGAGGCGCAGTGGGACGCTCGACCGGCGCGGGGGAGGTGCGCCCGGGCGGTGGCTGGGGCGCCGCTGGCGTCATGCGCGGGCAACGGCGGCCACGGAGCTCGCGTCACCGCCCGCCCACGCCGTAGCCAGGCCGAGAGGAAGGCGCAGCTCCTAATAAAATGAAATAAACACATAAATACTTAAACGGACTTCGAGGGGACCGGGAGAGGGGTTTCAGGGCATCAGCTGATGGCACTGCAGTGCATCTGACCGGGGGTCCTAGGGCTCCACTCCCCACGGTGGCAGGGTTTTCGACAGGAGCTACATAGCTAGGTCGAATTCAGTTGCTGCCTGGAGGAGAATTTTACCGACTGGCTGCTCTGATCGGAAGTTTTCCGTACCCTACCAAACGGGCGACTGGCCGCGCACGATCTCCCTTTCCTATCCCTGGGGCAGGATCACTGCCACCTCACAAACAAAAAACATACACTACACTTGCGGGACTTACGATCTTAGCATCTGACGCGCCCGGAATCACTAGTCAATCACTAATCAATAAATAAGCGAAAGAAAATGTTTAGAGAAATAGCCTATTTTTTAGTAAAAATGTCATATAGATGGTTCAGGAGTAGAAAATTTGAACGCAAATACATATTGTTTCCCCATGCAGTGAGAAAATGTACGCACTACGAAAGTGTGCAAAACATCCAATTTCCAATCATGTGAATATGAATTTATATGCACAAAATTATTATTTTTCATGTTTTCTTGATGAGCATCATATTTTTTCAAATTATTCTACATATTTTCCTTGAAACACATTTTTATTTCTGCATATTTTAATCCGTAAATTTTATTTTAGATTTTGTGCTGTGTTTGTATTCACGTGGTGCGTTGCATCAGGAATCGATTGTCTGGAGGTGCATTACGCAAGATATTGATCCGGAAAATCATTTTCGTTTTGAGCAATACGTGCTGTCAAGACAGTCTCCAAGTCAGTAACGCTGATGAGCTTGTTTTGCTTTCAATTCAACATGCAGTCTCCAAATGAGACTTCTCCCACAAATACTATAAACGAAACGGGATGTGAAACAGAGAAGGTCTTTCCTTTTCACAATATGAGGGTTTAAACACTAAACATGGCATACTCTAAACCGTATTTACGATACTTACGATACTCTAGAATGAACGGTTATTTTCCTGGGTTATTACAACCTATCAATCCGATACCTTTTTTCGGCACCTGTTTCATAGACAAAATCTTACTTTGTGTACACGTAGGCTTCCGCGGCTCGAGTCCATTACTTCTAGGCTGATGACGCCGCGTCGTTGGCAGGTGGGCCAGCGAAATTTTTTACTGCGAAATAATCGGCCCGCTCAGATTGAAATCTGCACAATGTGTTTTAACTATACGTCATTTTCTTTTCGCATCGATTATATCATATACACTTTTGCTTCCTTGCCATCTAAAATCAGGATAAATCCTATTCCTTTTCTAACGGAACATGGCAAACGTTGTTCTGCCCTTCATCTCCTTTTCTCTCTTTTCGTCTCCCCCCTCTCTTCGTCCCCCTCCTCGTCTCTGCCCCTCTTTCCTCCCTTTGCCTTACCCCTCCCCCTCTTCCTCTCCCTTTCCCTCTTTCACTCCCCTCAGCAAAAATGTAATAGAATGTTCAAAAAGATATCATCCTATAGATTACGGTGTAAGAAACCTTTTGATAAAACCGTAATAAGACCTTTGGTCTCAAAATTTTTGTTTTTAATGCCCTAAAATGCTTTGTTTAGGAGTTATTTAACGATATAGATTCAAAAAACCCTGCGGAGTGTGATGCAAGTTGCATTTGACAAGAATATTTAGTTTTGTTTTACAGCGTAGTCGTACAGTGTAGTCGTTTTTGTGGCTTCCATTCAGCAGACAACTGATGATGATGGCTAAGCCATCGAAAGCAGCTCTTGTAATAAATAATATTGTTGGCAATGACAACGTTTATAATTATTTTATGAAAAATGCCAACGATAACGCACCACAACACCTATATACCTATATTTGTTTTACAGCGCCGACTAGTGAATTTGTCTGATATTTTAATAGTTATTCTGCTTTTCGGGGCGGAGAAGATAATTAAAATTGGTCCAGCCATTCATGTGTTATAAATGCTGTAACTAACCCGGCATTATTTTATATAAAGTTATAATATTACTTCTTTTAAAACCTTTTGTATTCAGAATACTTGTAGGAGTCTTTGATATCGAAAAATTGGTTTGTGGTAAAACGCCTGTCCGTCTGCGGGCAATGTTAGCGCCTAGGCAGGTCAAACCGCGCCGCGTCCAGCTACTTGCCCGCCTGGGCAACTTCCCCTGACTCCGCGCTTATTTCTCCTCCAAATCCATAAAGGGGTGAACACGCTGAAGGAGGGAATGTATAAGTGGAGTTTATATTACTAATTATTCATTTCATATAATTTTCTTTTTATTCTGCTTTGTGTAAACAATTTTGCCAGGGAACAGAAATAGTATTTTAACGGCGAAGTCGTTGCTTGTTTTCTTTTTACGTTATATTTAATTAAATCATTCGGCTATTTTTTATTTATAGTACTTTTAAAGTAAAGTAAAAGAGCGGAGAGCTCTTTTAACAGGTAAGAGTCTTAAATGAACCTCGTAACCTGAACGTGGGCAATTAATGCTATTATTGCTTTCTTAATATGCGATTGCAAAACCAATATCTTTCCTATTCGAAATGTTTACTTTTACTCTTTGCAATCAAATGCGATTGATTTATTTCACTCTAATGCATCATTTCTTTGCTTTAGTGAAGGTAATGAGAATTAATATCGTTTTTGGGACAGTAACTGTCACCTGACTTCACTGAACCTCTGTCATGCACCAGGCATCCAGTGACTCGCCAGTCGGGTTTGCACAACACTTACGGCGTATATCTAAGACGTGGTCTTAACCGTGGTTTTGAAATCACGGCTTTGAAGCCACGGCTTGAGCAGCGGGGCGAATCCGATCGATCAGATGCTCCAACGAAGTCTTGTGAGACCGCGGTCTCGAGTCGCGACTCTGGAAGATCGGTTGGTAGTGAGGGCGAGCGGCGTTCGTTGTTTGTTTTTGCAATAGAAACTGACAAATTTGCGGCAACGTACTTCAACTTCACCTTATATGAGTTAGTTTGTTTAACTCAACGAAGTTGAGTTTGGGCTACAATATTGATGTAAGAGATTTTTTATTGAAATCTGTTTTAAAGTAGTGGAGCTACAAAACGAAGCAGACTTCCTCGCTCTAGTTAGTATTGTAATATCTTAATTTTCGCCAACTTCTCGGTTTTTCCCCTTCTTCTTCTTCTTCTTCTTCTTCTTCTTCTTCTCCTCCCGAGATGCAATCTATTGGCGTGTAAATGACATTTTTTCTCATTTTCTCAATTTTTCAATCTTTGCTTCAAATAGTAGAATTGAAATATGACGTTAAGAGTTATTGTAGATTAGTAAAATCTGGTACTGTATAAAATGTTCACTGAAGAATTTGAGAAAATATCGTTTGAGTTTCTGTAAATGCGCGAATTTAAATATATATTTCTCAGAAAAATTTTGAGTTTTTGAGATACTCCATAAGGTATCATTTAAATCACATACACTCACAAATACAATAGTATATAAAAAAGCTCGCGTTGTAAATTTTAAATGATAAATATTTCAAGAAATTGCATTTTTTAAATGTAAAAGAAATATCAAAATGTCATGTTATTCAGTCCATATAACACCTTCTGTACCAGACGTAAAGAAAAAAATGGACCCTTTTTTGAAAAAATGTGGCTTAAAACGTTTGGTCGGAAACCGATTTTTCGGCATCAAGGGCCAACAAAACGTGAATTATATCTACACAACATGGTAAAAGTTATTTACTACTTATAAGAACAAGAATTATACACTCTTTCGGTATCAGGGGCTCACAAAACGAGTTTTTGTGACGAAAAAACGCGTTGCTACAGCATCACAGAATTTTCTCTACAGTACATAGGTAGTATGAGATAAAGTAAAAATTTAATATTCAAATAACGTCATCAAATACAATTTTTCGAAAATACGGGTAGTTTTCGCGTAATCTTGTAAAGGCAATGAAATGTGTTTTTTTTTTTTTCTCTAAAACCGCTCGAATTTTTAAAATTGAAATTTCGAAAATTGCGAAAGTTACAAATAAGCGAGAAGTTGTAGCACAGCTTATGTGTAATTAAAGTCGAGCGAGAGACTCGAAGGAAAGACGTACCGCGCGTTGGGACCGACCCACAGCGCGGCTCTCGCCCGATTAGAGCCCCACAATGTCGCACACTGCCACCGGGAGCGCGCGGATCACAGGACGCCGGCGACCTTCGTTCGCGGTGCGGAAGCGCTCCTGACTCACTCCGGGCGGTGGCGGAATGAGCAATGCTGCGCAATGCCAGGCACGGCGCACGCATCTTTGCTTAGCGGAGGTTCTCGTGATCGTATGAAGAAGAGAGGGGCGGCGTTCTGGTATCTGACACACTCGTGACTCACCGAGGTAGATGATTTCTGGCATTCAGTCCTGGCCTCTGATCTTCATTCCATTGTTCCCTCCTCTCTCTCCATCTCTCCCTCTCTCTCCCTCCCTCTCTCTCTCTCTCTCTCCGCGTTTCATGAAGTGCTGAACGAATCACATTGTAAGAACAGAAAGAAGAAAAGAGTTGGGTATTGTGGGATGTCCGATTGAGGTCTAATTGTTGATCTCCGAAAATAATATTTACTGCCGAATTAGCAAGTCAGAATGTTGAGCCGCAAAGGCACTTTGGATGGGAGCATATTTCCAAATATCGACTTTCTACAGTGTACAAGTTGTCCGGGGAGGAAACGTCGAAACGTAGAAAATAAGCTCTTAAGAAAATTTTAAGCATGTTTTGAGTAATTAACTACGTGAGTATTCTGAATGGCTTAGCCGCAATAAGCTCTCAAAAGTTGGTTTGAAAAAATGCTGTCTAGGCAATAATTTGCATTGCAGTATAGAAACACTCCAGAAACATCTAAATCGTTTATGTACATACAATTGTTTAATAACAGATTTATTAGAGACATGACCTTTCTTTAACTTCGTGAGAATAAACAGGGGAAATGCAATATGGTGAAACCTTAGCTGATTTGGGTCTGGAATCTCTGTGCATGTTCCACTACAACTTTTGTTGAATTAAAATTCGTTAAAGTAGTGAAAAGAAAGGTATATCCTCTTTCAGCATTTTTGGCATTCAAGGTTTTGAAACGCACAGTTTCCATAGTGAATAGAGTAAAATAAATAAGGCCACCCAGCAGACTCGTATTTCAATATGGGTATTAGAATGTGGAGGGAGACCCAGCACAACCGAATGTAGTTGTTGCAGTGGCCTTATGCGGGTTATGAAATAATGTACTCAAAAGTGATGTCACATTTACACACACTTTACTTATTACATGTTTTTATATATTAATTGTATCTTTATAAATTATAAATCATATAACTTTGAATTGTCGATTAAAATATTTGATCTTGACCTACAATTATGTCAAATTCTGCTTTCCCGAAGTTGAAACTTTAAAAAAAATATGGTTGTTATAAACTTGGGTATTAATTGTTAATATTAGTAAATGCAAATTTTATGTGGCGTATGAAACAAATCTGTTTTTAAACCCAAGAGATATGCATAATTATAGACTAATTAAGAATAAAATACTTGTTTTAATAGAAATAATCTAAATGCTGAGAATTGAATGTCAAGTGAATGGCCATTAAGCTAAGAACCAATTTGCAACTTGGAGCGCCAACGGCATCCTGTTTCGGTGTCCACAGAGGTCTTCACGCGCCTGATGGCGGGCGCCATGCTGTACAACCCGCAGCACGGGGTGGTGCGCGGATGGAACGGGTCCGCCCCGTGGGTGGTGCTCTACCGAGCACCAGTCGCAGAGGTAACCACTTCTTTCTCTTCTCCGAAATATTGAACCCACTGAATTATTATTTAAATACTCAAAAAGGGCGGAGAAAAACACTCAGAATTTCTGCAACTCTTTTCTATATAGTAACTAATTACTAAGAAACTACATTTTTTACATTCTAGTATGGATTTCAACAATACGTCTAGGAAACCATTGATTTAAATAGTAATCACCACATTTTCATAAATCAGAAGTCGTGCCCTACATTAAGAGAAGACATTGGTTTCGAGGATACATTCAGCATGTTTATTTTTGTGTAAACGCCTCGCGATTAGATAGTGGTAGAAGTAGGCTGTACGAGTATAAATCCGATGCAACTGAATAAGAGAAACATGAGCTCTTACAGTAAGTATAAAATGACATTGACAAAAAGTATTCTTAGATAACAATGTGAAGAGTAATTTCAGCTGATTGAACAGTATTGAAGAGAAACATGAGCTCTTTTAGTAAGAATGAAATGACATTGACAAAAACTAATCTTAGATAACAATGTGAAGAGCAATTTGAGCTGATTCAACAGTATTAAAACAGCTTCTATTACTTATACTGATGAATAAGTCACATTATCCTGATGAATTGTCTCCTTTTTTTCTGCGATACCATAACGTTAAATGTTTTAAATTAGGTTCATATCTAATTCGCAGTCAAGTGAAGATTTTTCTCTTAAACACATATTTTGATTGTTAGGACGTTTGTCATCCCGACCGAATCTGGAAAAAACTTTGTCAAGTTAAGTTGAGGTTCGTAAACGTCACATAGAGTACTACATCGCCTTCTTTATTTGCGTTCTGTCCCGTTGTCCCGAAAAAATTTCTCGGGACGCCGAAATCTCCCGAATTTTGCTTCGTGCCGTTTTTCTCTATTCAGTACCATGACAAAAATATTAATTATAGTTTTTTACAAAACATCATAAAAATATCGACTTCAATTGCATTCTTCGTAATTGCATTCTTCGTAATTGCATTCTTGTATCTCGCATATATCGTAGGTCTTCGGACTTTTAATAGTTTAGGACTTTACCTCTCCAAACTGATATAGTCACGTATTTGTCGAGCATGATGGAACAAAGCCAAAAAATATTATATTCACTCTGATAGCTCACAAAGTTTGCTATCATGTGGCTTCTATCCATTCTTCTATTCCCAATAACTTTTGAGTTATTTGTTTGCAAAAATAATAAAAAATTAAAAAAACTTTGTCTCGCTTTTTTTGACCTGAACCGGTAGTTGAACAGCAATATCCTAATAATGGAACTTGTCGACAGTAAAACTCTAAAATGAGTTATTCTCTGCTAGTGTATGTTTAAGCGAACAAAAATTTTAGAATTTAAAACATTTGTACAACTTCAATTTTTTTGCGTGCCCTTATCACAAAACAATTGAACCTACGATTACGACAGCACCTTTTTCTTGCCAATCCAACAGAAAAAAAGATCTCAAATTCAGGACCTCTGTCGACCAGTTACTCGTATTACAAGAATGTAAAGTAAAAGAGATCATCCAATTATTAGATGTGTCTTTTGTGATTTCCCACTACTTTCAGGAGAAAAATTGTTTGTCCTGTATTTATTTTAAAACAACGTTTGAACCCTAAGTTAAGATATGGAAAATGCTGTTCTTTAATTGAAAATTCAAACATCGGGTGTAATTTGGAAATTTGCACATTTTTTCTGCACGTATCCATAATATAATATATTTGATTATATGTGCTCATGTACGAGTGTTATGACACCGCCTGTTATGATAAATCACTGCTCTTTAAACTCATTTGACCACATGTAACTTTTCAGTTTCTGCTCCCATTTTCGGAACGCCGAGTTAACCACTGGTATCCTGAATGATCCATTCAACTCACATCTGGTTCTCAGAACTTGTAGAGGCGTCTGTATAACTCGTGGGGACTTGCTGACAGTCCTTGGTCAGGGGAAGTAATTGCTTGATTGTTCAAGCCATCCCCACAGTCCCCTATTCTACGTGCTGAGAATAACGGTTGTAACTCTTGTGTATTTGAATTAAGGATTAAAAGTGCGAAGTCAAAGATTTGCCGTGAAATAAATCGAAATGTCAAGGTTGATAATTTTCCTGTATTGGTGAACGCGCGCGTGTTAAATTAATCTGCATAATTTCTGGAATAATTATTATTAGTGTATTTTTTAAAAATATTTTATTCCATTTCATTTTCTATAACAATCCGGCAACGTAGATACAAATAGGAAAAGTGGTTTTTCCCAATAATATTGGTGGTTTTCTGGCGTGACAGAGTTTCAGAAATGCTGAACAAATCTTTTACTTGTATTTCTAAACAAAAGAAAAGAGAGAAGAACTTCCACATAAACCATGCATTAATGGAATCACGTGAATCTCAGACAAATGTTCTCTTAACTAGCATAACTGAAGAACTTAACGGCGTGTAGGAAGAGTGAGCGACCGTTTGCAGCAAAACACCACATTTACAATCTTACTTCTCTGCTTAGCTACACGAACTTCACCTAAAATTATTACACTTCACTGAGATTTCAGAAGAGACGCAACTTTGCTTCGTTGCAAGGCGTTCTCATAGATAATCATAAATCACATCGTAAATGTTATCATAGATTTATATTATGAAAGATGCTAAATTGCTAAAACAGGAAATAGTATATTAGGAAAACCCTTAATGTTATACTTAATTGTATAAGTATTTGTTTTGATAACGAGCAATATTAGTATAGCCAGTTTTCAAGCTTGTACGAATGCACTAAAGCAACATTATAAATGAGCTGTGAACACTTTGCCGTTGTAAAACAGCATTATAAATTTACAAAAGAACCAAGGTTAATTTTGGAAACAAATTTCAAAGCCGTTTTGGAGTTCGCAACAAAGTGTTCGTATTATGGCGTTACACAGGGAGCTCGGACAGTGGGGACGGGCAGTGAAGGTTGGTCGTGAGGACGGGAGAGGAGGACGGGCCGTGCAATAAAATCCGCGTGCTCCATAAAATGGCCGTTTAAAAGCGATTTCTTGAAACGGAAACGGTCGTTTATAATGCTGGCATTCACACACACACACACACACACACACACACACACAAATAGCAATTTCACCACCTTTTGTACTGTGTTCTGCTGTTAAGTAAGTTTCACTTCAATCATTAAGCTATAACATATTCGTTACACCAAATGGCTTATTTCATTGCATGGGGGATTCTGTTCACCATCTAGAAGGAACCGATTAGTCAGAAGAAGAGGAAGAAGAAAGAGAAAGAGAAAAAAGACGGATATGAAGCGTCCGCGTTGGGGTCATTTCCTCCGGAAGCCGCCGGCGTCGCGCGTGCCGAGCATCTGGCTGGGGCGCGCGGGCGCGGGCGCTCTGCGCGGAAACAGCAGCGTCACGGGCGAACGGGCGGCTCGGGCGGCTGGCTGGGAAGGCCGCACGCACGCGCGCAATCACGGCCGCCGCCGCCGCCGCCTCGGACGCTGACCAGGGCCGCACGATGCTTCTCTGGCGCGGGGCCACTGGGGACATGGGCGGGGGCCATCGCGCCCTCAAAAGGCCTAGAACTTCCTTCACCTTCTTGTATTTGGCAAAACTTATTTAAATATTTATTTATGCTCAAATTATATAATTGTTTTAACAATAATTTTGTGCAGTATCATATCTACACTACATAAATAATATAAAACGTAATAACAAATAGGTGTATTGTTTAACAAAATTCAACGACGGTCCCCTAAAAATGATCTGCTGAATCAGCCCCTGACTGGGAAGAGGGTGGAGATGCGACAGCGCCAACAAAACATCCATCTTTAAAATTAAAACATGGTTGTTAATAAAAGTTGTAAAAATGTGTTTTCAACTTTTGTTGGACTGTGGTTTTAAATGAAAAAGAGTTTGTTAATAAAACATCGCCCGAAAAACATGAAAATAAAATAATTTTTTATCGGTTTATTATTAATATTCATAAGGTTAACAATTGATATGAAATGAATTTCGATAGTGTTAAAAAAAGTAACAGCTATACTTTTTAATATATTTTATTTGCCTTTGGAGGGGGGGTGAAGCCTTCTGAGCCCCTCTCCCCTCCTTGGGTTCGCCACTCAGATATACCTGTAAGATGAAAATCTGATACCATATCTGAAATGATTAATTAAGTCTCGAGTATCTAAAGTGGAGGCAAATGGAAGAATACATAAGAACACTTAGTACAGCACAATATATTAATTTGAAATTCAATTAGTATGTAATTTCAACTCGATTAACATTGGGAAAATTCGCATCGGGCAACGAACTTTGATGTAATGACCGCTTTCCTAAGAGAACGTGTTGCATATCTCCTGTCTCTTGACACGAAGCAAACTTCAAAATGTAATGTTTGTCTCAAATTATCTCATTTAGTGTTTACATTGTAAACATTGTATAATTTCAGGAGCCATGACACCATGAACATGACAACATCACATCGTGAATGAGACGAGAACTAGTACAAGTTTTGTTGCACCTCAATTTGCTTAGTAAAAACCTCTTAAACTCTTTTTCTCTGGTCATGTGGGTAAGAATGATTGCCGCCATCATTTTGCTGATTTTTTAGCAATCGGAAGGAAATTAATGAGACGTGAAAAGCGCAAGTGGAATAGACATCGCGAGACTAAAATTATGCGCAAAAGCCGTAGGAGATTTTTACGTAGGTAGCGCAGTTATTGTAGAAATCTTTATTTCTAATTCCCAATGTGCGCAGAAATCGAAAGAAAAATAGGCAGACTCTGCATGGTGAGATATGTCTATGGTTTCGTTAGATACCCAGAAAGTCGGGACACAACCAAAAACAATTAAACAGTTTCCATTTTGACTGAAAAATGTCACTACTTTATTGTTTTTAACATATTTTACACTGTGCATACAAACGTACATGAGACACCAAAGCCCCAAGGAAGAGTCCGCCTACCATTAATACTTGCTATGTATTAATGTTGCGTTATGAAACAAGTTTGTTTTTTTTTGACATTCTTTGAAAGTAAAGAACTGTTTCACTGTACATTTGGCCCACTACTGTTATTGCAGAATTCGTAGTCTTTTTTGTTGAAATATTTAATTTGGTTTAGGGTTACGAGAGCGTATTTCATTTATAGTTCTTGAGCAGAGTGGTTGCTACTTTTTGAAAAAAGATTTTGTGAGTGTGTGTTTTTTTTTCAGAAGTATTATTTTCTGCTGCAGGACACTAGTCTATAGATATAAATTCGGTTAAAAGTAAAAATTGTTAGAGAAACGTAGCACATACAAAGCAACATTCCATTAACGTGAGATTTAGGGAAAATAAATTTCAAGATACTGTTAATTATTGGATGATATATGACGTACATATCACATTCTTAAGCTTGTGATTCACGTCAGAACCGATTGATAACGCAACTTCTCTTTTGCTTTTTATTCAACTCAGAATTACTTCGTAATCCAGTAGAAAATCATTCAGTGGTTTAAACATTTGAAAGATCTATCAACAACAAAAAATCTGAAATATTAATAGCTGTTTATTGTGATCTTATTTCAAAGAGGAATACTGTTTCGTTTATCTTTATACTTATTGCATTCCGAAGTATTCAGTGTTATGATTTAACCTGATATAACTGACTTATTTCAACGAATAGAAATGTTCAGCATTATCGTTGATGTCAATTGCGTAGTGTAATTCAATTATGTATTTCAATGTGTTAGAACCGTCATATATAATACAGAAACGTATCACGATGTAACATCGCCTTTGAAATTAATTACATATCATTTAATGATATGACTCAGTCTGACAACTTTCATGTGAAAGAATTGAACCGCGTTGTGTGAAAACTCCCGCTTTTGTTTTATTTCAGGTCGCATCAACTTCTAGGTCATTAGCGACCACTGTTGCGTGTAACGATGTGGTAACTGTGAGGTTGACACGATATGATGATGATGATGATGATGATAAGAAGGAGTGAAAGGACTAACACAACATGGCCGAGACGGGACTCGAACCTGCGATCGTTCGGGCGCGGTATCGATCACCCTGATCGGTAAACACCGGCATTACTGCAAGTGCGCAGATGTTAGTCCAAGGCCCGACTTGAGGTCTAGTGCTATCGGAGAGAAAAGAAAGAAAGAAATTATATTTTTTATTTGACGTCCAATTGATGGGCAAATTTTGCTGCTGCTACAGCAGGCCCACCTACTAGTAATGGTGATTAGCTTTTCATATTTCCGTGTCAGCGAACATATGCTTAGCGTTACAAAGTTTCCTGTCAATGCTTTCTTCAGAACACGAATCATTTAATGAGATCTACAATAATACAAAACTTTCATAAAATTTTTCAGACGACCATCAGGTGTATGAAATTTCGAAATTGGATGATGTCATCTAAGAAAATGCCTGACAAGATTTTGGCCAAATATTAATATTGAGCACTAGTTCTCTGCCCCATCTTTTATGTATTTAATGTATTTAATGAACCCTTTCCTTCTTTGGTTCAAGCACCGCCATTAATGATTCAGCTGTTTTGGAACTAAGATTAAATTCATCTTGAGTCAAATCAGGTTGATATGCAATGGACGCGGATCTCAGAAGTCTAAATACATGCCATAATAAAATTGTACTTAATGTCTTATCTTTGCAGGCAATTCTGGGCAGCAACAAACATGTGGAAAAAAGCCATGAGTACAGGTATCTGCATCCTTGGCTGGGAACCGGTCTTCTTACAAGCGGAGGTATGTACATGTCAATAAACAGATGGAAAATTGAAAAGTCCATGATTTTCAGTGACAATGTTCACTTTTTACTATTACTGTTTATTTCTTTAAAATGTGAGTGATTACAAAAAGAGTATTGTGCCATGTTTTATATTGTGTCTATGGTAATCCAATACTGAGAGAGAGAGGGAGAGGGGAGTCTAAATCCAGAATTCTATGGGATGAACTTTGTTTGGATTATCACCACTGATATCATTTTAACGTTTTAACAAATATTAGTTAAACACCTAATCTTTTTATCTATTAAAACTAAACACAAGCTTTTTCTTACATGATAAAACACTCGTTAATTTCACAAAACGTACTTCTGATTCCCCATTGCGTCTTATAAACATTTCCATGAAGTTTTACTGTTTCATAGTATCTCAGTTGCAATGTATATTACGAATTTGCCTTCTATAGTTTGTCTGTTCCTAAAATGATTGATGCAACACTCATCCATTGAACAACATGGGCTATCGAGATCAGTTTCAGTCGAGACACACCACGTTTTGCATTTACGTGGGATGTGAATTGAAGCTGAAACGTTTTTCCTTTGGCGTTACGAAACGAGGTTACGCGAGCCGAATGCTTCTGGCCAGGAGAGCCCGAACGAACCCTGAACGATTATGTGCAGCGCAGTAATCGCACACGTTAAACTTCAGTTTATTAGTGCAATTAAAAAACATGGTTTTTAATTATTATGCAAAATCACATGTGTTAATTTTATTACATAATAGTAGTTGCATGAAATACATACAACACAATATTTTATGGATCGTAATCCTGGCAGTTACTGTTCATTCTGTAAAAACTAAACAAATTGATCAAGCAACACAGACCTCTTTCAGATCCTTATTGGGGTGATTCTCGGGCCACGCACTATGGAATTAATACTATTGTGGAACCCATATTTGGGCAGAATGCGAGTCCATCTGTGACACCACAAAAGACAAGACACGAGTCTGGACGTGCGTCAACTGTCACTCCGCCCAATCGGCTGCGACAGCTCAGCGGCAACGCCGTTGCCTAAGCAGCATCGTTGACTTGGAGAGCCTAGAATTCGAGACCCAACAGTGGCGAATGTTCGAAACTAGCTAGGTGGCTAGTTCGAATTCAATGACTGGGGGATAATTCTATCGAGATGATTGGTAGTTTTCCGTGGATTCTCCGATCAGTACCAAGCCAATGCCATAGCAGTACCCTAACGCTACACTACCGCACATGACGGGAGATGGACCTTGGCCCAGTTGGAGCGGTGCCTAACTGGGAGAGATATCTGGAGGAGGAGAACGCACTCGCCGGCAGGTAGGTTGGGACTGGATTTCAAGCTCTAACGGAGGGGGCCCCGTTACCTTCCAGATTATAACATGTCATACGCATAAGAGTCTAATTTATCCAAGTAGTTGACGCGCCTGGAATCAATATTCCGCAATCCAAGACAAAGATAAGATACTTGCTATGCATGAAAAATTAGAAAATGTTCTGAAAAAGAATGCGCAAAATAAATTTGCAGTCCCTTGTAAACACCACTAAACTAAACTACGCAAATAGTAGAGTATTATAGTCGACATCTCTCAAATGGTAAAATTATGTTGGGAATTTTGCTACATTCTAAAACAGCAAAACTATGTATCCAGAATTTTGCACAAATGGTCGGAATTAGGAAAGATCGGCAATATTCCTGACTTGGATATTTAAAAATGTTTCTAAGAATTGCATTTGCTGTGCGCATGAGCCCCTTTCCCACGACATGTAAGAAGGCAGTAATGGTTCAGAAGGGGCTGAATTTAGTCAGAATAATCACCATTACAGATCTCATCACATCCAAAACAATATTCCCAGTATTAACGTACTGGAACGTTTTATATTCATGCTAACAATTAAAAAAACTATAATTTTTAAAATATTGATTGGTTTGTGACCTGAAATCCCGCCTCGATTTATTATTTCGTGTCAAAGCTCTGGTCATTAGTCTAGTAAGCGCAGTGCATATTTCCATCAGCGGAGGTGGCGGGTGAACCCCCTCCCCCCCCACTCGGATGGTGAGATCCGGCACCGGCCTACACGTCGGATTGCGGGGTGTTCCCATCCAGAACCTCCTCCAGTGGGCCCAGCCCCGACATGCATTCTGGATCAGGGATGCGACATCATCGATCTTGTAATGGAATTATCTGGGTATTTAACATCGATATTTTGAAGCAGATGTTTTTAACAACGATATTTGGTGGTCGATGTTTTTATGTGCTTGATATTTTTAAATGAAAAAAGTACCATCATAAGAGAGTTCTATAATAAATTTCAGATAACCAGAAATTGAATATTCTTCAGACCAAAGTGACCAAGGGTGAAAATTACGTTTTCATCAGTAAAGATGGCTGTACAATTTCTGAATTGTCGAACCAGATAATTTAAGTTTTGTTAATTAACTTGATTCTTTTTTAAACTTTGTTGTGTTAAATAAGTCTCGATTAAAAATTATAAACGGAGGCCATTTTAAATTAAATCCTCCCCCCCCCCACGTGAACTTTAATGGTTACTAATCTCGTTTTAAAAACATCGATGTTTAATAACATGGATGGTTATAGTTCGATGTTTTATTAACATCGATGCTTTAATTTTGACCGTCGATGTCGGATCCCTAATCTGGATCCGGCAGCACTGCATTCGCGTTGCGTCCAGTGATGCGACATCGATGTTCAAAATAAAAACATGAATGTTAAAAATACATCGAGTAAAAACCATCGATGTTTTTCAACGTAGATTTTTTAAACTGGTTTAGAAATCTCTAACATTAAATTCGTATGCCTTAAAATTTAATTTTGACAATGTTCGTGTTTATCAATTCGCCGAATAAGGATATAAGGAGGAGCAGACCCTACCTCCTAGCCCAAACCACAACTTAATTTACGAAATAAATATGAATAATAGGAAATGCAAGGGCATGAAGGTCATCTTGGGGGAGAGTTTGGTCGATGAAGGTACTAGTTCCAACACATGAATAACAGTGTTACCATCAGTTATTATATCATATTGTAACTTACAGTATTGTGATCATGGGAATTGTTCATTGAGACACAAAACATCGGAAAAGACAAAAACATCGATGTTTCGAAACATTGGCGTTAAAACTGTTCCTGCAATGAACGTGTGTGTTGGTGCGTGGGTGCGCAGGGGCCAAGTGGCGCGCGCGCCGCAAGCTGCTGACGCCGGCCTTCCACTTCCGCATCCTGGAGGACTTCGCCGCCGTCTTCCACGAGCAGGGCGCCGTGCTGATGCGCCTGCTGCGGCCGCACGCCGACGCCGCGCAGCCCTTCAACCTGCAGCCCTTCGTCACCCGCTGCACGCTCGACATCATCTGCGGTGAGCGCACGCCCTCCTTCCCTTCCCGCACTGCCCTGCCTTTGCTTGGGATATATGATTTCAATATTTATGATAGAATGTTGTGTGATTATTTAAAAATTATAATGTTTAATATCGTTATATATATATATATATATATATATATATATATATATATACATATATATACAGAAATAATTCACAATGCAACAAATACGTTTATTATTTACAAAAATATATGATGGCCCCTCCCTCAAAGATCGGCTGCACCGTTGCTGTGGTCCCCTACTGTTATTGAAGTATTGAATACATGTATTCAAAATAAATGCCACTCTAAAAGTAAACTATAACCTTTTCATTAAAAAAATATTATAATGTACATTTTAATAAAAACAAATATACAGTGTTGCTTAAAAAATATTAGGGTTCCTAACAAGTGTGAGCTCTAATTACTTACGTAGGCTTCTTACGCTCAAACCACCCATCAGTTTGCCCTGTCCGCAGCTCCCACCACACAATTCCTAATTGCAAGGCGAAATTACAAAAGCGGGGCACGATCCGTTTGCCTAGGAAATCCAGCGTTTGAGAGTTTGTTTCATTTTCCCCACATTTTCTTTAAATTCCTTTTATGGCATGCGCGTGTTAACACCCTCTAAGAATTTTACTTTCAGTACTAGTTCCTTCCAGGCAAACATAAGTCATTGCATCAATCTCCGTATGAGTGTGCTACCTTCTTGCAAATAATCTGATCTATAAATCACCAAGTAAATAAATGTAAACTCATTGCGGTTTGTAGAGGTATTGATAATTCGCACTTCTTCTGCAAGACATATTGAATAACCTGCGCCAATCGCATACCGTATCTCACTCTGAAGATACGAATTATCATTGTTTTTATTTATCATAATCTCACAAATAGCCTTTAGGCGATAAGCTGCTCTATCCGTTGGAGAATGCCGAAGTTAGGCGTTTGAAGCATAGATTATTCGAAAAGCGGAAGGTACACAGCGAGCCAGGAACGTCTCTCCGCACCGAGCCGAGTCTAGGCCATAGCAACCAGATCACTGGGAAACAACTGAAGGGGACAACACTTCCAACATCTATTGTGATTGTTGAGAGCCCGTAATTTACGTTTTCGAGCTGCGGCTCGTGCTACCAACATAATTTCTGTCGCTAGCACTCGCAGCAACAAGATGCTACTGACTTTCCTTGCGGGCTGTATTTGTCCAGTTTTTTCTTCACTCTCATATGCACCCCCAGTGAATTAATATTTTGTGTCGTATTTTAATTTTGACAGCTCCTTGTTCTTGGTCATGCATAGAATATAGAAGAAGAGAGGAGTCAAGTCTAGTACAGAACATGTCGAAATGATGTTAAATCCTTGAACATAAAAATTAATGAAAACGAATGCAATTAATTATGCCAAATTAAATGATGTTTCAATTTCTATATAATTCTCCATATAAAATTAATGATGACTTACTTCGAAAGATATTCATATCTTAAAAAATAAAAATACTTATTTCTAAGTAATTATAGTATCAAAAAAACAAAAACAAATTGCACACAGACAGTATACTTCAAGTGTGCAGCCATATGAGTTGTTAACGATTTGCAACACCAAGGGGTTCCTTATTGTCTTCATAATTAGAGCAATAAAAGAACACAATTCAATTCCGACAAGTCCACTTTCCATGAACGGATCTAAACATTCAATTTCGGGTAATTTAATACTTCAGCTAGGAATCGTGCAACCTTCATGTGTCACTGACCGTCCGTTTCATAGTTACAGTTGGAGATCTACTCTGAGTCTCGGTCTACTGGCGTGGGACTAACTTTTCCAGATTCTTACAGAACATCTGAAAAGAATTCACGAAAAATGTTATGAGAGTTTAATAACATAAAACACGTTTTTGAGTGTTTAAGACGCCTAGAGAGGTGGTTAAGATATCTGTGTCCTGTCCCCTGTTAGGCTGTTTGGGAAATTAGGTTACGGCAATTGACGGAGACGCGGCTGCGCCAGAGAGCCAAGAATGCATTGACTCCGGACGCGGGAGCTTCCGAACGCATTTTCATGGACTTTGTTCCAAACAGCGATGGAATGTTTGTGCATGACAATGCGCCATGTCACCGGAACACAATTGTTCGCTATTGGTATATCTAGGTGAAGTAGGACATGCCAACTTTCTTCATTTGTGCGCTGCTCTTGTTTTTGCAGAGACCGCGATGGGGCGTCAGGTGAACGCGCAAGGCAACAGCGACTCGGAATACGTGCGAGCTATCTATGAGTAAGTTCTTTATCTGATAAATATTTAGCAACTATTACATTATAAAAGTTGAAAGCTCGGTTTAAGTACGAAATAAATGCAAGCGCAAAAATAAGTTCCTCATGGATGGATGTGACGAGACACAAAAAAACATATATGAAATCTTTTAACATTGATAAATGTAGTTAATGTAATCCATTAAAGATAACAACAGGAGACAAGAACGTTTGAGTTGCAATTCAAGGTTCTGTAAATTATTCCGTTATTTCTGCTTATCCCAGAGAACGATAATTTGAATAACTTAATTTCTCAACAAACTTTATCCGCGTGTTTTGTGTGTTAATAAGTTTAATTTGCCACCGATACGTTATTGTTGTTATACCCTTCGGCACAGACTTGATATACTCCACATATCGTATTATTGCCTGCCTCGTGGTTATGACGGAAATATGAAAGTTGTTGAGTGATGGTAGGTGTCCTCTTAGGGGGGGGGATTATGAAAGGATATACTGAGAGGGAAATACGAAAAGACAAATCGAGCCAAATTAATATCTAGATAATTAGCAAATAAGTAAATATGAATAATTAAAATTAGGTAAAAATTAAAACCTTGATTGCACCACGGGCGTTGTCTAGTTTTAATGATCGAGCGGCGACAAAAAGCCCGAGGGCCTCGGCCGCTCGAAGTCATATTAGCGCCCTGGGTGTTGATACGACTATTTCGTGTAGATGAGAAATAATATCTCTGCAGGTACGTCGCAATTGTTGGTGCTTTGCTCCCGAGAAATAAATCAATAATTTTGATTATCTACTCTATTCTAAAATCCTGTTCAAAATAATATAAAAAATTAAAATTCATTTAAATTCCGTGGTGGTAGCAGATATCTTGTGGTAATCTATAATATGGTAAAGGAAATAATCTCCACACATGTTTTAATAAAAATTATTAAAATTTTTGTAGAGATTATTTCCTTTACCATATTAAAAAGCATTTACTTGTGCAAAAATTCTAACATGTCCTCTTTATTCGATGGTATGTGACTATGAATAACCAACATTTCATTATTTGAAATGAAAGTAATATTATCAGGAAATATAACGTAACTGAACATTCAAAAATTGCTTTGTTATCCGATATCCAATGGAAGTAATTTGACTAAATTATATTATCTTATATTAAGACGATTGTAACTATTTTCCAATTGTATTTATTGTTTTACAGACTTGGGTCGATTGTTCAAAATAGACAATCTAAATTATGGCTGCAGCCCGACTGGTTATTTAGATGGAATAATTTGTATAAGATCCACCAGCGGTGCATTAAAATCTTACATGGATTCTCCAATAAGGTGGTACTTTACTTACCTTTCTGAAGGTTTAGTAAAATAATCCAGAAAAAAATAACAATTTATTTTTCTCCTGAAGGTAATTCGAGAACGCAAAGAAGAAATAAAAAAACAAAAGAATGAAGAGAAGGTGAAAAATAAAACGAAAGAAAGTAGTGCTTCTGCAACAGACGAAAGCTTGCTTGATATCGGTAAGTCAGTGTTGCCAAGAAAGTATTCGCTTTTACTTTCTCGCTACGGAGTAGAGAGAAAATTATGTAATGTTGCGCGGAAAAACGCCGAATTTTCGGCAGAAAAATTCTTATTACAGGACCCTGGTAGGGAAAAAGTGGATAACTCAGTTGTGAAATTCAGAAAAAGTCCTCTAACACGTGGGGTAGCCAGAATCCATGTTTTGTGGGTTCTTGATACCGAAAACGCGAATGACGGCAAAACGTGTGCGTCTAGAACAACGCTAGCGGCTAAACCGTTCAGCGAATTTTCTCTAAAATTGATGTTCCCCAATCGATCTGTGTGATGTCGCGGACCCTTGATTTTAAACCGATATTTTAATCTTGGTGGGACTTTACATGAAGCTCCTGGGACTTTTTCAATTTTTTTTTAAATGGCTCTATCATTTTTGATTAAATTTTATTGTTGGATAGTGTAAAAGACGATTAAGACAATGGTTCAGAATTCGTTTTCGTTAAAAAACCTGAATTTTAAAAATTGGAAATGTTAAAAATTTTTTCGGTGTCTTCCTATAACTAAAATATTAAAGATAGAGATTTAAAAAATCCCTTAAAAATTCGATAGTTCAAGAAAAGTTTTGAAATAAGGTCATATATAATTTTTCGAAAATTTGAGTTATTTTCGTGTAATTTGGCGTGAAAATACGGGCGAGAAAGTTCGTGCTGCGATTGCTCTGATGTGTACTTTACTTTTAATCACTAGGTGCAAAGAAGCGCCTCGCCTTTCTCGACCTCCTAATTGAGTACTCGCAAGACGGAGCAGTACTTTCCAACGAAGACATCCGGGAAGAAGTGGACACGTTCATGTTTGAGGTAAAAAAGGAATTCGTGTTTCTGAAAGGTCGACTTAATGGTTCAGTCTTCAAGACGTTTCCGTATCTGCATTGTAACGCGTCATCTCTTTTATGTAAATTAGCATATGAGTTACATATACTTTTACTTGGGATTGAGTTATATTTTTTATGACTTTTCAGGGTCATGATACGACATCGTCAGCTATCAGTTGGGCCCTGTTCTTGTTAGGCTGCAATCCTGAATGTCAGGTAAGTGTCCGTCTTTTTCGTTTCTTTTCCCATGAAGTTATGCATTTTGTGTCAAAATCATTTTGATTGGTTTCTACTTCTTTCTCGATATTTTCTTGTTGCATTTGAAGTTAGATTCTCTGCCCATAATGGTTTACTATATCTTGTGTGGTTATTGATCGACAATCTCTAACTATTTATGGTTTAAGATGCCGGTGAGTAAGTTTCCTATTATGTTGTATTCGGATATAAAACTGCATTTTATAAAGAAGTTTCTCGTGTGTTATGCAAAGCTTGGTATCCATTCACACAGGACTTCCATTACTCTAAAAAAATCCCGAAAATCGTCTTCCTGAAATGTTATTGGTTGGATATGGGAAGACAAAGAAAAACAACAGAATACATACTGAGCGGCAGTACTAGCGTATCTCTTCCTCCTCTAGTAGCAATTTTTAGACATGAGTTGTGTATTATTTAATAAGAACGTTATTTTGATTTTGAGTACTTTCAATTTAAAATATGCTGAGTATGTTTCGAGATGACATGATTGAATGATCATTTGTCGGTCGTATTTAATCTGTTATTGGGGATACGTACTGGTTGAGTGGGGTTTGGAAATGATTAGAGCGAGGATTGTCAGAGGGTTTAATCTTCTCGAGGAGTTTATGGTCACCCTCACGTAAAAATGAAAAGTTGCGATAACAAGTTCTTAGTAGGTTTACAGCTCAGTATTAGTTCATGATACACGAAATGCGCTGATTTGACTATACCGTACGTAATCTGTACTTGAAGTGGAGTATTTTCACCCCGACAACCATGTTAATACGATATCCTCTATAAGCTTTTCTATTTCACATGCAACATATACGACATTGGTAGTTTCTATTAAGCTTTTAGCATTTTGAAAATCCTCACTAGCAGCTGCGTTTGTTGTAGCTGCCTCTGCTGCGACTCTGGCGGGAGGACCTTTGAAGGTTAGGTCGAATTCAGTCGATGTATGAAAGTGAATTCTAGAGGCCGGCCGCTCTGATCCGTGGTTTATCCTACCAATTTAGGGTTTGTCAGAGCAGTACCCTAACAAACAGGCCATGGACCACGCGTCATATTTCCTTCTTCGTCATTATCCCCTCCGCCCTCTACGCACTCGTACGTGCTTGCGCTTCACCCCCACACGTGTCGGGGGCTTAGAGCTTTTTGCTTCTGATCGGCGACCCGCTGGCGTAGATACCTCGAGGTAAAAAACGCAAACCGGCGCCGGATCCCCGGTATTTACGACGGCCGCCGTTGCCCCACTCGGTAACTCATAATAGTCAATCGACAAAAAAGTGCATACTTGTCGACAAGCGATATTACAAACTATTCATTGTTTAACTTCTCCTCGTGTAAAGGGATGATTCGTCTATCACCTGCAAATAAGGGGACTGCGGTGCAGGGTACAGTGGTGTAACCGTGTGTGAGGGCCACTCGTCGAGGCGTTGCTCAGAAGAGGTGCCTTGGTTGCAGGAGAAGGCGGTGGCTGAGCTGCAGGACATCTTCGGCGATTCTCGGCGCCCGCCCACGCTCCGCGACCTCAACGAGATGCGCTACCTGGAGCGGTGCATCAAGGAGGCGCTGCGCCTGTACCCGCCCGTGCCCATGGTAGCCCGCCAGCTCAACGAGGACGCGCGCATCGGTAGGATCATCAGTTCCTACTAACAGAAGTAGAAGTAGTAGTGGTAGTAGCAGTAGTGGTAGTAGTAGTACTAGTAATTGTAGTAGTATTAGTGGTGGTAGTGGTTGTGGTAGTAATTGTAGTAGTAATAGTAGTAATGGTAGTGGTAGTGGTAGTAGTAATAGCAGTAATAGTAGTGGTAGTAGTAGTAGTAGTATTAAAAGTAGGAGTAGTAGGAGTAGGAGTAGTAGTAGTAATAGTAGTAGTAGTAGTAGTAGTAGTAATAGTAGTAGTAGTAGTAGTAGAAGTAATAGTAGTAGTAGTAGTAGTAGTAGTAGTAGTAGAAGTAATAGTAGTAGTAGTAGTAGTAGTAGTAGTAGTAGAAGTAGTAGTAGTAGTAGTAGTAGTAGTAGTAGAA